GTAGTACACCTTTGAGATATGGGTGTTATTTTTTATATGTGAAGATCGTTTTCTCATTTCAGCATTTAAAAATCACTTTGTAACGTTTGGGCTGGTGTTTGGAAATGGACAGGTTAATCCTCCAAAGATCTCCATGAGTTAAGAAATATTTGATGTTTCACTAAAATCTGGTGTGTGAAACGAAGTCACACACCAGATGTGTTCTTGTGTTCTTCCACTATTTGATAATGTCATTTTGTTGCCAAGAAACCACCCAAGTATCTTGATATTTCAGAACTAGTTGAATAATATCCTGTGTTTTCAAAGTAGCAAGCTCATGAGATAAGCAAGGAGACAAAATGTAGAAAACTCTCCTGGTTGAACTCATCACGTGTTGGTTAGACCTTGTTTAGATTGCAAACTGCTTCAAAACAAGATCACAAATGCATGCAGAACTTCAAATATTGACTCTAGTTCCAATTGTGCCAACGATTGGGTGCCAAAGAGACTTGATCTTCAAGTATTTCAATCCATTTTAACAAGTTATTCACGTCCAAAACAGATGTTTTGGTGAAAATGGATATTTTTGAGCTCCAACTTTGTATGGTCGTGGGTTAAGCAAAATCAGGCAACAAATGAGCAACCCTGGATTCAAAATTAAATAATGTCAACACTGACTTTTAAATCCAAACAACTATTCAAGAGCTTTGAACAAAAGTAAACGGTGTGAAGGAACTAGAATGTCAAATTTTTATCACTCTCTAGTTGCATCACGCATATGGAAAAAATAATTTCTTTGTTGAAATACGGAAATTCTTGAAAACTAAATATGGAATATACGGAACTCCATTGACGGATTCCCGTATTTAGAGAGGCCGGAATTAAAGTCACGCCAGTCTCAGTCACAACGTGTTTAACCCTGACTAAGATCTTACTTCGGTTAGAAGGATGGATGCACGCATGGTTAAATTTAGTCATTACCCTGTTAAAGTTCAGTTAAGTCACACGAGCAAGCGCAATTGCAAGTTCTGGCAAACGAAAAAAGGTCATAACTCTGTGAAAATATTCCCAATGAGAAACTTGCAGGATAGAATTCAAACTTACGAAAAGAAGACCCCATTAAGTCCTACAAATAAAGACACCAAGTGCACAGGCAACAATCAGCTAAGCGTTGTGATAACATAACTGGCATCGAGTTTCTAACACAAACTTGGAGTTTGCGTCTATGTTCTTTTGCGCCAAATCGCTGATGGCAAACGCAACTTGATGTCTAGCGAATTAAACCTAAAACTCTCCTATACCAAGTTCCTTTCATCTAATGTAAAGATAGATTGCAAGCAAACGTAGGCCAAAAAATAAATCTGATTCCTTCTTTTCTTTGGCTATGCATGTATTAAGCTATATTATTTGACTTTTAAAACCCTTTTTTATTTGAAGATAAGAAATAAATATAGAAAGAAATATATTTCTTGAAAAAGAATTTTTATGTAATTTTCAATATCTATCGAATTAAGCCTAAAACTCTCATATATCAAGTTCCTTTCATCTAATGTAAAGATAGACTTCAAGAAAACGTAGGCTATAAAATAATTTTGATTCCTTCTTTTCTTCACTATGTATGTATTAAACAATATTATTTGACTTGGAGAACCCTTTTTTATTTGAGATTAAAATATATTTCTTGAAACAACAATGATATTTTGCATATATTTTTTGAACACAGGTAGCCTCAAAACATGAACTTCTCGTGCACGTAGTGCAAGCGAAAGTTTGATAGCTTTGAAACGTAGATGTTGCTGTCCGCGGCCACCGGCTTCATGAGGAGTTTAATGTGGAATGTTCTTAACCATTCAAGTTAATAAGACTATTCTGGAGTTCAGTTTCCACTCTGTTATGCAGCTTGTTCCACCACGCCAACTCCATAGTCTTGATCACTCATTTCCTAGTAAGAATTGTTGAAACCTGAGGTCTTTTTTCGACTTAATATCAGATCATCCAGAACTTCCAAAATATGTTGCCTACGGTAACCTCTGACTATGATAATCATATGGGGCACAATCATAAATGAATTTCATACTCGTATATAACTATCTCCTAAATTTTTTTATAAAAAATAATTATCTGAATTTTTAGTTGTTTCTGAATTCCATGAGCAAAGAAATATAGAAAAGTCCTTATCGTTATGATTGCTAAGTCAAACGATTTTGGGAAAGTCGACTTGTCCTTCAACTCGTAGACTGAATTTCATTTACTAGCTTCCAATATATTCCAATCGTAATGGCAAGATCAATCGTCCGGCATTCTTACAATGCAATGTTTGACCAAAATAGATGCTTTCAGCTGTACTACTCGGTCCTTGCTCCCACCTCCTCAATGCATGGGTCGAAGTCTTTTCAAGAATTCGAGTGGTCAATGATGCATTATAATCAGAAGCATGTACATTTAGAACTTACACAGCCTTAATTTCGAATCTCGTCATTCTTATCCAGTTGTGACAAGCAAAAAGAACCTAGAGCATTGACGACTAGAAGATTCAGGGTGCGACATGAGTCCGAGGATTTAGTTGTCGCACCACCATTAAGATATTTCATCGAGGAATGTCCTCGCTTTCATCTGACCCTCCACTCATTTCATTCCTGTTGTTGTAAGTCAGTTGCTCAAGTGCCTATGTCTGTAGCACTAATTTCCTCTGCTCGCGAGAGAGCATACGGTGTACTACAATACATAAATGAAAATTCAACCACCTCCGGGTTGAAACTCCAAAAGCCGTCAATAGACTATTCGCCTAGTAGTTTGATTGTTTGTTCAATCATGGTCACGTTGATTGCCTGGAGAAAAACTATAAAAAAAATGTTGAGATACTTCACTCCATTCTGACATGACTGCATAGCGACAACGTAAAGAACATCTCATAATACTCCATGTGAACCGAAAAGTGTGAAATGACCGCTTTTTGATGTAAATGAAACGCTGTAGAAATTATCTTTACACAATGGGAACATTAGTGCAGGTTATATATTTATACTTACGTATGTATGTAAATCAAAATTCTTTCTAGTCATCATTTTGCTTTTCTTTTATTGGTGTTTATTTCATGAAGCTCTTGTAGAACAAAAATAGACTCGGGTACATTTTTACGTTTAACGAATATGAATCATTTATGTTTAATTTCTATCTATTCAAATGAAGAATATTTTGTTGACATTAATACGTAATAGAAAGCACGTAGTATATATTCTACGTGTTGGACGTACCAGCGGTCTCAATCTACTAACCAAAGCTGTATTAAAAACTTGGGACCCATCATTGAATCTCTCGCACTTCCGATACTTTTCAAGGAAAGTCTTCGGGTTTGACTGTAAAAACATTCCGAAACAAGTGAATTCTATACCATACGTCGAAGTTTAGATAGTGGAATCTCCAATATGCTCAATCTAAAATCAATTGAATACAACCTAACCCTATGGGTATTTAGTAAAGAGATTCAGAACTAGTATGCTTTGAATTGCTTCAACTGCAGTTTTTCTCACACTTCAATTGCAAATTCCGCTATCACTGCACCATCGTAAGAAGAGAGAACTCGCGTTGCTACTGATTGTATTTGGAGGTCTCCATCAAGAAGGACAACAACAAGAGGTTAGAGATAATGCAGTTAACATGTGCGGTTTCAATAGTTATCCAAGGGTTGTCATACATAAAATGTTCATACATAAAATGAACATATGAACATTTGTGTATAGGATGCATGTAGTCCTCGACCGACTATCATCGTATGAAACGACCACAATACTAGCCGACTATAGCGTTGGCCTCCTTTGTTCAGCACTGCCCAGCACGTTGTATATTGACGTCCTCCAAACGTACAACGAGCAAAATCTGAAAAGACGCTGTGGTCAGTGAAAACCTTGAGGTTCTAAGCTCTAACTTCAGAGTTGATTATTAGTCCAGTAGGATGTCATATATTCAGTGTCGAAAAGGTGAAACACCTGCAATAGAAGCTGATCGCAACAGAGGTCTGCCCAATAGAGACAATCATATCATCTAGACCACAATAAAGTGGTTCTTGTGGTATGCAAACTTTTCTTAGCTTTGAAATATGAAAGTCTTTCACTGTTGTATATACTTGGATATTTCCCAGTGACGTCAGCGTTTCGCCATGCTCGAGCAAGGTAGATTTGAGTGTTGCAAAATGAGGTATGGTGATGCCTTTCCACCTAGACTTATCAGATCTCGTAGTAAATCCAACGAACCGAAGCGAGGATCTTGTCAAGCGTTTGCCAAATCTACACCCTTTGTTCCCAAAAGGTGCAGCTTGTTCGCTTCTCAAGTTCCCAAGAGTTGTGGGTAAGGCTACGATAGCGGCTACAATCGACTTCATCTTAGCGTTCCTGTACTTTGATAGTCGTTCTCTGTAGCATCTACCGTACATCAAACCTTCGACTTCTGTCTTTTCTCCAATGACATTCAGGTCTTAATTTGACAGACAGGAAGTGGCGACCATACCGTTGAAGCTTCACCCACTACGCAGAATACCCTTAAAATTTTCAAGGAATTAGATTGCAAATAGCCGTGACTGCGGGATGTCCAGCTCAGACCAGACACAGTTCGTACTAAATGCTTACGTTTCACTCTCATCACTTGCATTCACAAGGTTTCATTAACATATACTTTCATTTAACACTGTATTGGACCTGCCTGTATATATCAACATTTTCACCGAATGTATATGTAAATATGTTGCTCCTCGAGTTTTTCTTGAAGTATCAACACCACGTTTGGTGAAAGCATGAAAAAGAACCCATGGATGGATTCTTACACAAATAATAAATAACATATTTTCAAGACAGACATAGAACGAGAGGGATGAGGTCGAAAGAATCGGAACACGAGCGGATAATTCTCATGACGTATCGACTCTAATATATACATTAAACAGCTCTGCAGAAAAGAACTGAATTAGGACAAGGCAGAGCATAGAATTGTCCTGATGTGAAACACATGTTATTATTTTAGTAGAAAGGTGTCTTAGTATAAAGTGGAAAAATGAAACAAATCTGATACATCAGAAATGTGATGAAGATATAGTTTAGACCAAGGGCATTCCAGTTGGCCAGGTACAACAGTTGCATGGCTGTCGTTAGATTTTTTGTGTTAGAAATTCGATTGGGCATAACACGCGGCAGTTCCCGGTGTGACCTGAATCAGGACCCTACTTCTTCTATTCAGGGTTGGAACGCATGTGATAGGGAAGGTCTCGGGGCCTGCGTTTGGAAACAATAATCTAAATTAGAATATCGTTTAGGGGCTGGGCATTGAAACGAATCAGGTTCGATGAGATGCAAATGTGAGGAATAAAGCATCCCGAAGAAGGAACACTTGAAATCACGACAAGACACTGAGGGCATGCAAGAGTACGAGCCCTAAGGCCAAACTACCTACACCTGTGACAAGGGTGGCGTACAGAAGAAATCGACCATTCTGAATAAGGCGATCATGACCTAAGAAGGCGAACAGCAAAGGAAAGGAAAGCAGGAAGATACCAGGGCTGGTGACGAGAGGCTTACCTCAAGCTTTACCACAGGGCCAACTTTTCCCAGACGGAATGTAAGGGGAAAGAAGTTGGAAGAGTGGACGGGGGAAGAGGCAGATCACGCCCTGACCGGAACTGACCTGACCAGGCCTGCATGGGGATCGAGTGCATCGTTTGCTTACGCCGGAGAACGGGTGGCGAAGTGCGTTATCCCCGGCTGCAGCTGCAGCTGCTCGCCTTCCCGGATACTGCACACCGCGCAGTGTCAGAATCCTCTTGTGCGTGCTGTACCACGGATAGTCCTGCCGCGGTACTCCGTGACGTCATGGACTCGTCACGACATGTCCGGAAGCATCTATTCCTCCAGCACCGTGACATGCTGCTGAGATCACCGGAATCGGATGCATCTCACGGTCTCCAGCCCGCAATTGGACTTGCCAGGCCTGCCCCATCATCAGGCTGTGCTCCGTCTTCCCTCTGTGGTGACTGGGCGCTTCCACACTCGGCCCAGGCACAATAACGACCGAACTTTTAACCTGCCCGAGTCCCAGGCCGAGGATCTCGATCTGCCGCCGTGACATGTGTCCCTGACGCAGGGTCCAGTCGCGCCAGCCCTCCACTCAGGCCTAATACTATTAAAATCGCAATTGGTTTGAAAATGACGATGGAGAGGAAATCAAGGGGTGGTGTCAGACGGGCCCTGAGCGGACCCTGGCACGATCGGGCGGTCCGCCAAAGGGGTGCTGCCCGCGATCTTTCGCAAGTCCGAGAGACCTTGGCAAGGATTTGCCAGAGCCCCGAGTCCCCACAGATCTTTTGTTGTGCGCTCGAGCTCGAGCTCGAGCTCGCACGTTACGGATCGGCATGGCAAGGGACGGCCAGTGGGCGTACACAGTCCTCGCCCATGATGTCGCCTGTGATAATCAGAAGGCATTTATAGACGAGATGTGCGGCCCTAGGCCCTCGGGCTTGGGCTAATCCTACAATGGGCTAAGGCCCATTGTAGGATTGGCGGCTTGCCATTTGTTGGGCAAGCCTAGAAGACCCTGGTCGAGGGGAAGGTGCAGCTCACAGAGTCTGGTGATTGCTCACAATCATGTCGAGCGCGATTAAAAAGTGGTAGAGTCCAGGCAGCGGCAAGGGCAGGCAGATCACAAGGTTCGCTCTTTCCGAATGCGTTCGCGCGCCGCGGTCATGCTGCCGTCACCGCTAGTCTACCATAAAGCACGATTGCGCCGACACTCGGCCCGTCCCGCGCCTCGGCTCGGTGGAATGGAAGTTGAATCGAGATCGTTCCGCGGCTTCCGTTCCGTTCTTTTACCGAGCCCCGAGGCGGTACATCGAAGTATACAATAAAATGTTTGGTGTCAGACTGCGACAGAAATCCTTTGTCTGTCTGAGGATCCACTGGCTCGGCCGTCGTCATGCACCAACGTCTTCGATTCTTCTCGAGGCCTGTACAACACCGAGCGCGGTACGAGCACCCTTCGGGCGTCACCCACGAGACGAGCGTGGGCGCGCTCTCGTCGTGTCGACCGATTCGGAGCCATGGCCGCGACAAGTTTAGGGCCGGTTCACGTCTCGTCGACGTTGCCCGTTTTAGGAATGTCCTCGCGGAAAGCTCCTCTCCAGTCCCCGTGACAGTTCCCTCTTCTGCTCATCCTGCTGCCTTCCAGGCCGAGAAAACATCGGCCCAAGTTCTTGCGCGCCCAGCGATGCCGATGTTGCTCGCTTTCGATTTTCTCCTCGGCTTTCGTGCTCGCACCTGAAATATCGCGTCTGTCTTACGGGAAGAATCTGGCTATCCCACGCGGAAAAAGGGTAAGTTTACTCCGCGCACCTTCGCAGTAAATGCTCGCGATATTGCTTCTCGACGTTCGTTTCTACAGCGACATTCGCTTCCGACATTCCTTCCATTATCAGTTCAAGATTCGAGCCATATCGATACCCTCCGTTCACAACGAACTTGGTGAAGCACTTACTCATTCATTCGAGCATCTTCAAAGGGAATCGAGGATAGCTTTCCAAAATCATTACCGACAGACATTATTGGGTACGTTCATCAGGGCCACGATTAACGTGCATGCGAGTTTCACGCTACACACCACTCTCATCTTTTCCTCCGGGCGAGATCACGTTTAGCACCGAAATCAGCCTTTCAGGCAATCACAGGAGGGATACCTTGCCAGCTGCACCCCGAAGCCTAGCCCATCGTCGTGCTCGCATTGATCACTTCAATCCGAATCATAACTCCTTAGGTCAGCTAGAATGCACCGGATGCGAATGATTGGGGATACCGCGGTGACAAGGAAGAGGCTCAGTTACACGGCCCTCGCTCTCGCCCTCGCTGTAAGGTTGTTGACATGGCCCCATGTGGACAATATGGGGTGTGCAGTCAAGGACCAGGTTCATCGCGTCGATTGCAGGAAGAACGATCCTCGCAGTTCACGACGCGACGGTGACTTGTGCAGACTCTATGACATGGCTGTCTGCTCTCATGTTTTCTGTCCTCTTCCATCGAGTCGGTTTCTTCTTCTGTATATTTCTCTGATCGCGGAAGCTTTACCGTCTGGTCTTCAACTCGATGTCACACAAGCGTCGTGGGCGAAGACTGTGAAATGCACTTTAATGTGTGTGGTGACGGCGGGTCCGATTCAGCCCTGGAGGTCTGGAATAGTCCAAGGAGGTTTGTATTATAAGCAGATGGTCAGCCCGAAGCGGCTCGAACGTCCAGGTCTAAACCTTCGATCGGCACTTGACAGCTCTACGATGTTTCACGTGCACGAGCAGTTTAGGCCGATTAATAATACTCCACAGGCGACGGTCCTCGACGAATACGAGTTCGCTTTTCCTCCGAGAGGGGTCAAGGTGCGCTGCAGCGTGTCACCTTCCTTCCTCTAGGGACTTCAGTGAGATGCTTAATGTCATCATCCTGGAGGGAAGCCATGGGCGAACGCCGCCGGACCCACTTACTGCACGTGTCCACTTCGATAACAACACGATTTCAAATTTCTACAAATCACCTGGAACCGTTTGATAAAAGCTCGCTCGCAGCGATAAGGTCAAATAAATATTGGTCCTTCGTGCTTTCATTTACCTGGTAACCAGAAACGCAGTAAGAAATATAGTTTCTACACTTGAAGCAGAGTACTGCCAACATCCGAAGCCTCTTCGCTTTTTCTGCGAAGCTTTGTACACCAAGTTTGGCCACCGGTCCGCCCCCTCGTACAACATGCTGCGCTCAGTTCAGCTCCGAGGAGAATTCCCTTCGGCCACAATCGCAGCCCCGGGACGCCACCTATTTTTTAAAGAGTATCTTACGGCTCGAAGACACTCTCTCTGACCGCCATGCCGCCAGTCTGCGCCGATAAGACTCGGACACAAGCGGGTCCGAGTCTTATCACAAACCAGCGCTGGTGCCTCGACTGTGACTCGGAACACAGAATCCAGTTCAGGTGCAAGGAGAGCTGTTTCGGAACGGTTTTTCATGAAAATTCTTTTCCATGCGGGGACAGATACGGTGCGAAAACGTACAGTCTGTGACATGCAAGAGAATGCGAAGACAGATCCACAGAGGGTAATGATATACTTCCCAATGCTTTTCGGCACAGCGATGAATCTTAGGGATAGACGAGGCGGACTCTCAGTCTTCAAGTTGGTACAGTACTGGTCGCGCCTTGGCATTGAAGTCTACTAATGTTGCTCAGGAGTATGTACTCCTGAATTGAGCTCGCTTGCAATGAATGAAGTGAATGGAAAGTTTCAGTCTTCTGGGATCCGTGGGCCTCCGATGCTTAGAAACAACTGTAGAAACGCAACGTCCGATCCGAATTTAGGACATCCAGGTCGAAACTAGTCAATCATGCAAGCGAGGTTGGCGAACGAGGTTTCTCTGGATCATCACCGGATGATGTGTTATGCTCGCTGCTGGAAGTTTTCATGGCGCCGACTCGAACGTTACGAAATAAGAAATGTACTAACCGGGAGAAATAGAAGCAATTGGTGTCGTTTCGCATGGTATTACAGGCTGCTGCCGGATCGCATGGCATGTTATATGGACTGACTCGTCGCATGATTTGCCTCATGAACTTCGACTTCATGAGTGACAGGCTATTCATTTGTTTGTCTGTTTCAGAGCAGTTCTGTGCATACTCCGCAACTATGGAATCTGGACTTCCCTTGAGTCATCGGTGAAGAATTATGTACGCTTTAGCGCTCGCCTCGCCGCAGAAGAATCTTGTCAGGAACAAATATCAGCCGGTTCATAATCTAAACACAACGATCCGTTAGTCGGTTGAATGCACCACAGTCACGGTGTACGTACAGACAATAGAATAAGGAGTATTCTATATTTGGTCCAGACGAATCACTTCACTTCAGCAGCACGGACATGTCGAGACACTCACGAAACCACGAGGTATTCGTTGGCCCGTCGACGGGAATCGACAGTCGAGTATACTCTCAACTCTTGCTTATACATAACGGCACCTCCACGGACTTTGTATCGACTCTCACATCGTTCGCCCGGGGTGATAATAGATTGCATAGACCTATAGCTAGAACGAGTACATTCTGTTCAGATCTCACTTACAAAAGCGCGGTCCGTTCTAGCGTTGAACACCTCCGATAACTCTGAGGTTGCCTTCTGCGGTGAAGATCGAGCATCGCCGAGCGATCGGGGCGGTGTATTGTTATATATTCAGCACGCCAATGTACTGAACGAAGGTGGTGTTGACGAACTGCTGGTCCGTGAAGGAGATCGTTTCTCGGCATGCGTAGCCATTCCAAATTCCGGTAGCTGCAGCTCACTAGAGCCTCCAGTCAGAATGTAGATAGCTCTCCTCCTTCCTCGCACAAGCGGAAACTGCCCGAGTACTGACAGAAACAGGCATAACCACCAACTGTTAGCTACTCTAGGTCGAGACTAGAGAGCTTGCTCGCCCTAGAACAGAGGCAGCACAAGGACGACATGTACTTGGGCTAGTATGATACCATCATCCATGACGAGTTAGGTTCTACTACTTCTACTACACCTGATGATTTGCTGAAGTTGATGACAAAGAGAAGTGCGCGAATTTGTGTCAGGATCAATAAATTAATGACATGTTAAGTCCACAAAGAACACATGCCGGTAACATGGACCAGTCAACGTCTCGGTCCCCTTGTCGACAAATTCTTTATTTTTGTAGAAAGTGCTCCTCGTTGGAAACCACCGCCAGCCTACTCGGCTTCATTGGCCTCCCCTACCCCTACCCTTCCCCTTGTTGAGTCTGAACTCTAGGGAATTTTCAGCTAGCCCAAGAATCATGGAACATCCCAACGATGGCAGCCTCTTCCACTACAACGATTGTAGCCTCCTCCATGGTTTTGTTGGTTCCCACCTGGACATACGCCCGTAGGATCCAACATTGATAAGTGCAGTGCCTCCGTCAAAACCCCAGTCATTCTTTTTTACGTAATATTCAAACATTTTGATTGAACATATATTTTGATTGAACATATATTGCATTTGGTAATGTTCGATATAATAAAAACTATGGAATCCCCGGGATTCCAAATCGACAACAGCTCACTGACTTATTGAGGAATGGCTTGCCTCAGTTACTGCATTTATCGTACTTGGCTTGCAATCATCAAATTTCACCAGAGTTTCAGTAATGCAATTCCATGGGTTTGCTACCTCTCTGATTCTCATTATAGGCCCTGCTGACGAGGCTTTGTTTATAACCAGCCTCTCTAAATACGGAAAATACGTAAGCCGATTGCCGATTGAGAGTATTTCGTTTAACTAGAGAAACGAAGGAAGTCATTCAGCTAAAACTTTGAGGTGACATCTGATACATTCAACCAGGCAAGTTTTAGTAATTTGTCTCCTTGATTACCCAACTAAAACTTTGCGCTAAAACTTTGAGGTGACATCTGATACATTCAACCAGGCAAGTTTTAGTAATTTGTCTCCTTGATTACCCAACTAAAACTTTGCGCTGACACCTAATGAATTCTACCAGGCAATTTTAGTATTTTGTCTCCTTTTAGTTTTGAAAACACTTAGAATTATTTGATATCTTTGTTAGATCTAGGTGACTTCCTAGAGAAACTAACTGAAATACTCAGCTAAAACTTTGCGATGACACCTGATGAATTCAACCAGGCAAGTTTTAGTATTTTGTCTCCTTGATTACTCAACTAAAACTTTGCGCTGACACCTAATGAATTCTACCAGGCAAGTTTTAGCATTTTGTCTCCTTGATTACCTCATTACATTTTTAGTTTTGAAAACACGGAAAATTTAACTAGTTCTAAAATATCAAGAATTTCTCAAACTTTCTTCGGAGCTAAAAGGACATAGAATAAATAATGAAAGAACACAAACAGCTTTTGGTTTTTGTAAAACTATAACATTACCAAGTCGATGTTCTTTGTTCACAAAAAACTATCGACCTAACAATCTGATTCCAAGTATTAAGAATAAATTTATTCAACTCATGCAGTGTTTCGGAGGATTAGTTTGACCATTTTAGAACACTGCAAAGGTGTGGAGAGTGATTTTTCAATGCTGAAATGGAAAAAGTCTATTCACACATAACAACCATCTCTCTCTAAGATATATTACATTGCCGTCAAATTCCGCCAAAAACATAGAGAGATTTCTGTCAAGTTCCGTATATTCTGTATTTTGATTTGAGAATTGTCCTTATTTTGTTGAGATACGAAATCCGCCCTACATAGAGAGGCCTGTTCATAACCCGTCCTTCTTGTTTCTGGAGAGTCTACCCCACACACCGTACTCCGCTGCACTTTTCTTTCTCTGATTCAATACGGTGCGGGGCACCTTTAGAATTTTTTTGGCCCGTAATAATTTTCTCATGCTCCACTGACCAATCTACTCTTCTTCTAGTACCTTCTGTTAGTAATTCTGTTCTCTGGCATCGTAACCTTCGGCCGGCCTGTATTCTCCGATCTCTTTACTTCAGTGCCGATCGATTCCTCAACAACCTTCAAAAGTTAGCCAATCAAGTCTAGCATTTCTTTACATACTCCAGGCACTCAGATCCGAGAGACGTGAGCTCTTCTTCTACAGACCGTATTTTTTGCACCGCAACCGTTGTGTCTTAATATACTATCTATTAGCTAAACAAACAAACGAGCCCTGTTTGTGAACTACTCAGTTGACGTCCCTGCGGTAGGTAGGCTAGAGGTGTTGTTGATAGTTTTCAGCCATTTTCAATCAGAATTTGTATATTAATTGAAAAGATATTTATTTTATTTCTTTTGGAAAATCTTGAAATATGTACTCAGTTCTTAAAACAAGTAATCAAATCAATCCAGTTAAACTACGACAGGTTGATAGAGATCAAATGAAAAGACCTTTGAAATTGTTGTATATGTTTTCATACTTTACCATAGATTCTAGTGTTAAAAGTAGAGATAATTGCTTGATGGGATCACTAGGAAACTGAAATTACTTGATGTGACCCAATAGGTTTCATTTTACCCGATGGGACCTACTGAACCACACATTGTCAGCGATGTTCCAATATTACAAGTTACACCATTGTGGATCCGTCGTTGGGCAAGAAGGAGTGCTCCTAGTGACGAGATTTACGTTGTCATTCATTCTGCATAACAGCGCAGAGAGACCAGACATGGTGGAGTTTATGAATGTTCTCACGGAGTCCCTTCTAATGGAAGACAAAATTGTAGAGCATCGGTAACACGCTGCTCACCCAACTGTCCCATACTCTGGGCAACTGAAGCTCAGAGGCTTTTACACCTACTTCTGACTTTTACACATCGTCTAAGATTGACACTCATTCACCTTGGAACACAGACCAGATAGATATATCTTGCAGGGCAACGGATGTTAATCGATCTGTTGAGGCTGAGATTCCATATGTGATTGGCTTCAATTCAGATCTTAGCTCCAATTGTGATAGAAAACTTTTTTATATTATTATAATATTCAACTTTCAATGAGATCACATTGATTAGATCAAACAATGCTTTAAATTTTGCTCTATCTTCAATTCAATCCCTAATATTCAAATCAACTTAAATAAATTTAAGTTGATTTGAAAATTAAGATATTTGAAAAAATAATTGATTAACATTCAATAATCCTAAACTTCACATTCAACTGAGAATTTAGAATACTAAAGATTGGGCGCAAATCAGTCAAGACCTTTACTGGGCAATGAGCCGAAACTGAAATTGCAACGGAGCGCAAAGCAATCAAGACCTTGAGCGAGTGTTTCAGGGTAAGAGACAGCATGAGACGCTGAAAGTCCTAGTGGCATAGAGGAGCGCAAAGCAATCAAGACCTTGAGCGAGTGTTTCAGGGTAAGAGACAGCATGAGACGCTGAAAGTCCTAGTGGCATAGAGGTCCACTTGCGGCCCAAAGCAAAAACAGTCAAGACCTTTTTGGGGCAATCTGTTGAGGTTAACTCTGGTTAAGGAATAACCTCAGATTATAGCTATTTATGGCGTATGTGTATATATATATATATATATATATCTTATATATATGTGCTTCTACTCTGAGTATGAGTTGTATTCAGTTGTCAGTAAACTCTCTCGCATGTTTCAGCCGTGGATGTAGTTCTTGAGGGTGAACCACATTATACGAGTGTCTATTGTGTTCATGCTTGACTTGGATGTGTTTCTTGGTTTTACGTTCAAAATTGGTATCAGAGCATTTTTTTGATTTGGATTTTGAGATCGTTCTGATTTTGAGCTTTTGACAGTGCGTTGTGTTTGGGAGAGTTGTGATGAAAACTTTTGACAAATTTTAAGAGGTGACAGAAATCTGATGTTGCCATGTTTTTTGACGGAATTCTGTCACTGACGGTTTTTTGGAAGGTGTTTTTGATTGTAACAAGTTTTCTTTTGGTGACAGGTCTTTGAAAGTTTGTTCATATAATATGTCCAGGTTTTGGTTTGGTGTTTTTTCACTATAAATTTGCGAGCCCCTCTCAATGAATGCCTTATTGCATTACATTACACTTAGTCGCTTGGCATTCTGTCTACAGCGCATAAGAGTCTACGAGTAAAGAGTGATCGAGTGCAGAGATTTGCGCATAGATTGCGAGTAAAAGTCTACGAGTCTAGATTTCTGTGCAAGTAAGATCTCTGTTGCAAGCAAGAGTCTGCAAATGCAAGTGTAGATTGCATGTAACTGTCTTCGTGTGTATTTATGTCTGTGTTTTTTTCACTTACACTGATTATACTGAAAGAGCAAGGATTACTTTGAAACAAGTTACAAGAAAGTTTGAAGTTGGGAAATCGAGCGGCTGCTCTTAGGGCTTTCCACGCAGCGGTGCAGGAGTGTTAGGGTTTAAACCAGGCCTCATAAGTTTGTACATTTTCTAAAAATAGCTTTACATTTATACAAATGAAGCTCCAAAAAATGTACAAACTAAGGTAGAGTGCGGTGAAGAGTCCTATAGAGAGTTAGACACATATGTGCTCCAATGCTAATATTCTGTAACGTCTGTCACGATCTTCGCCATGGATAAATTAAGTTAAAAACTGAATCCTGTCATTCATTCTTTTCAACGTCTCTTTCTCTCTTTCACTCTCACTCTGTCTTTCTTGGCCTTCTTGCGCTTCGTTTGCACTCCGTGGCCGTTGACTTAGATGTCTCACAAGAAGGCCTCTGCGCCGTTTCAGGCGTCGCACTCCTTAGAATTCGATGTTAAGGTGATTGCAAAGGATGCCCACGGCAAGGTGACATCCTGTCGATGCAAGTTTTGCGTCTTTGAAGGGCAAGACAAGGTGGAGACGAGTCCCAATTCCAATTCCACGCGCAAGCGCAAAAAACATTTTGATATAAAATATTGGTAGTCCTCGTTCATGTGTCATAAGTACCGCAATCATCACTCTACCCAACATCAAGAAAGCTGGCAACGCTATCAAAATCTGTGTGCCAAAGAGAAGATTACGTTCTTTGACGACAAGATCAAGATCCTCAACACTTTGCATTGATACATGGACACTAAGAGCGACGTGGTGACGTGGCAGATCAATTCCAGTATCGTGGAGACGATCATTGGCGAGACGAGAGGCTCTTTCCAATGTCGATATCACGATGACGATACTGATCCAGTCAATGTCATTCGTAAGGCGGCTGCGAAGAAGCAAAAGGAGAAGGAGAATGCGATGAAAATGTTCGTCAAGAAGCCGGCGGATGAAACCGCTGTGTACACGGTGGCCATCAATAACATTACGTGCTTCTGTTTGGCCCTAGATCATGTTTCGTCTTGCATGTCTTTTAGCCAAACAGCACACGCCATTCAGCACGCGAAGGATTGTACCAAGTCGGCCAAGTTGACTGGCATCAATGATCACATCGCGGGACAATACGTGCGCGTGATGGTCGCTACTTCTCTGCAGGAAATTTGTACCATGGTCAGTGACGATTTGGTCTAGGCCTTCTCCATGGCAGGTGACGGCAACACTCACCGAGGCCAGCCTTTCTTCAACTTACGCATGTGCTTGTGTTTCCACGTTTTATTGATGAATCTTCACCTCGTCGTTGTTCCTTCCTTTGATCGCCACATTGCCGAAAACATGTTCATCAAGATCGTCAAGTTCATGGATGCATTGTATCCTGCATGGCGCTCCAAGTTGATCATGTCGACTGATGGCGAGAATATGATGACGGGACGACATTCAGGTCTTGTGACCCGCATTGTGGCGCAGGCCAAGAACGAGGTGCTCCGCATATGGTGTGCTCCTCATCAAATCGACATCGTCGCAAAATTGACGGCTGGAGATATTGACGGTGGCGATTGGATCAAATTCACATACTCCCTCTCAGTATTCCTCCACGCGCAAACCAACTTGATCATCAGCATGGGCCTGAAATGCCCCAAAAAGACAATTCGTTGGGTGCATCTAGGTCGGGTGCTGACGTTCTTCAAGTCCTATCGTCATTTGATCGTTGCCTACATCCAGAGTGATCAGCACATGCCGAGTGATGAGTGGTGGATAATGACGTACGCGGTGTTGTCGACGATTGATGCTATCAACGTCATGTTTGCCCTATTACAGAGCAGGTCCTTGCTGATCGCGCAGCAAGAACAACACATTCAGTCGCTTATCGGATCCCTCATTAGCATGTTCGCCATCGAGATCGTGGAACTCAACGTTGAGATAGACAAAGCCAACTTTGTCTCGCACAAATCGATGCGCATAAGTTCCGATGAGATCGTCTCCCACGTTCTTGACCCAGGATCATTTTCTGATCAATGCTATGATCGCCTAACCGACCAAGGCAAGATCAAGATTGTGAAAGAGATCGGCAACTATGTGATGACCCTCGTGATGGATCTAATGAACGTCAAGGCTAAGCGTGACAATCAAAATTGAGCTCTAAATCGGGATGCACCTCCAGTGGCCTCACTCCAACTCGTCAAAGTGCACCCCTTTGTGTTCATCAAGGAGATGCTCGACCTCTACCGCTCTCATCTTGATCTGTTCTGGAACCCTGAGAAAATTGACGACGTCGAGAAGGAGCATCGCGAGCTCTACAGCTTGTATGTGTTGGACGTCGCTGTCTGCCGTTCCATTGACAACACCAGTGTCACATCATCATTTGATGATGCTTGGGATATCCTACCAAGCAGATTTTGCAACCTGCGTTGCTTCTCCGGTGGATTAGCGACGGTCTTCGCCAACAATACGTCCGTTGAGAGCGATTGCTCCATCTTAAAATGGGAGATGGATGAGTTCCGAACCTCTCTTATGCACTTGTCACTGGAGGAATCTTCCAAACTTAGTAACGCGACCGGTTGGGCCTGAGTATAGATGCTTAAACGATCCAATACAAAATAGACATTCATCCTCACACATTGTACAAATGAGCCTTGGTTGTGTGCACAAACTAAGCTACTTTTGCTAATTTGTACAAATGTACAAACTTATGAGGTCTGGTTTAAACCCTCCCCCCGCGCAGATTGCAAAGGTCACGGCCAAGGTCGCAAAGCGAATCTCCGAGCGGCGAGTATCAACCCCCATTAGAGTAGTAACCTCGAGCGGAGTAGATCCATCATCCCCCAGCCCCCAAATCACCTTGTACGCAAGTCTTCTTTCCGACTTTGGATCTACTAGATTGTGCAGTTAGAATCTTCCGGCAAAGAACGGCGGCCTTTTCGCGGAGTCAATAGTGCCCTTTCCTCCCCACCCTGCGGAGTCAGGTGACTTCGCGCAGTGTTTTTTTGACGTGATCACATTGTACCACACTCAATGCGACGTGGTTGCAATCGACTTGATAGTAGTCAGTCGTGGTTACTGTCAACGTGGTAGCAGTCAGACGTGATCAGTGTGTACCACAGTTGCTGTCGACGTGGTAGCAGTCGTGGCGGACGTGATCAAGACTCACGCAGTCGCGGTTTTTGTGAACGTGGTCGGTGCATACGTGATCCAAGCAAACGCAGTTGTGATAAGTAGAAACTTGGTCCACTGTGGTCTTGACGGTGACGGCCCTAACGGTAACGGTATAGGTCGCCGGCGACGGTGGTCACGGACAACGTTAATTGCGGATGACGGATATTGCCGTCAAGGACGACGGTGGTTGCGGGCGGAATTCAAGCACATGCGTGCAGTTCAAGCTTGACTGATTTTGTCTTGAAGCTTGTGATTCTTGTAACGCTAAAACTTAGGAGCACTCATCATTCAGTCACACCGACATCAGAGTATAACGTGGTTCACCCTCAAGGGCTACGTCCACGGAGAAAATAGCACTAGAGAATTTACTGCTTGAATGCTTGAAGTGATAATCTTCTGATCACCCTCAAGATATATATACCCGAGGTAGTCAACTACTTTAAGCTATTAATAGCTACATATGTGGTTAACCTTAGTATAATAACCTCAGTTAACTTTGTAACTAGAGTTAACTTCAACAATCTTCCCCTTAACTCGTGTTAAGGAGTCTCAGTAACCTCTCTAACCTATATTATTACTCAGCGGAAAGTTCTAGACAGGATTCTGACTGAAGGTCTCTCTTTAGAACCAGAGTTAACTAGAACTAATCCGTAGCCATTACAGGATAGAGTAATAATATATAGAGGTAATTCAACAATTTCACCTTAATTCACGTCAAGGAATTTCAGTCACCTCTCTAACCTATATTATTACTCTCATATCAAGACAGAGTAATAATATATAGAGGTAACTCAACAATCTCACATTAACTACCGTCAAGGAATTTCAGTCATCTCTCTAACCTACATTATTACTCTCATATCAAGATAAAGTAATAATATACATAAGTAACTCAACAATCTCACCTTAACTCATGTCAAGGAATTTTAGTCACCTCTCTCACCTATATTATTACTTTCATACAAAGATAGAGTAATAATATACAGAGATAACTCAACAACCTCACCTTAACTCATGTCAAGGAATTTTAGTCACCTCTCTAACCTATATTATTACTTTCATACGAAGATAGAGTAATAATATACAGAGATAACTCAACAACCTCACCTTAACTCATGTTAAGGAATTTCAGTCAACTCTCTAAACCTATATTGTTACTCCGCGGGAAGTTCTAGATGGAAGCCTATCACAAGGTCCCTTTTTATACGAGAGTTAACTAAAACTAAGCTGTTGCCATACGAGGATAGAGTAACATTATACAGAGGTAACTAAGAATCATATCTCTTGTGCTCCCTATGCACAACTTGCATAGTAGCACAGTGTCGCCTGAAACTCTCCAAAGGAATAAGTTTGGTCAATGCATCAGCTGGATTGATTTTAACGTCAATCTTGACTAGCTCAATTGTTTTATCAGACACTGCTTGTCTAATAAAGTGATACCTGATGTCGATGTGCTTCACTCTGCTGTCCATGACTTGGTTCGCAGCCAAATGTAACGCACTCTGGCTATCACAATGAAGATTGACCATGCCTTGTGTTAGTCCCATCTTCATGATAAGTTTATCCAACCAAATAGCTTCCTTTGCCGCTTCAGCTGCTGTCACGTACTCAGCTTCTGTTGTTAACTGAGCTACACACTTCTGCAAGGTAGATCTCCAACTGATGCTTCCGCCGCCAAGTGTAAACACATATCCAGTTGTAGATCTCCTTTTGTCTAAAACTTGTCCATAGTCAGCATCAACGTAGCCAAACAAGGACTTGGCATTGTCTAACAAACCATCAAACAATAAGTCATAATCCACAGTACTCTTCAGATATCTTAGAATCCATTTCACTACTTCCCAGTGAACTTTCCATGGATTTGAAATGTACCTGCTCAACTTTCCCATTGCTAGAGCAATATCAGGCCTAGTGCACACTATTAAATACATGAGGCTGCCTACAGCTTGTTCATAGGGAACACATGACATTCTTCCCTATTTCACAGCATTTGTAGGACATTGGGCTACGGAGAGTTTAAAATGTGCCGGCAGAGGAGTCCATACTCCTTTCGAATCGGCCATGTTGAACCTATCAAGTATACAGCGAACATACTTGCCCTGACTCAGCCATAACTTCTTCTGTTCAAAATTTCTATAAATATCCATGCATAGTATCCTTCTTGACTCCCCCATATCCTTCATCTTAAATGCAAACTTCAGCTGGCTCTTGCATTCATCGATATCGGATTGGTTTTTTGCCAAGATAAGCATGTCGTCAATGTAGAAAACTTAAATGATGAGATTGAAAGTCTCATCGTTCACCTTCTTCATATAGACACAAGGATCATACATGCTTCGTAGAAAATCTTGTGCCTTCAAAAACTCATCAAAACGTGTATTTCACTGCCTAGGAGCTTGCTTTAGTCCATACAATGATTTCAATAATCTACAGACCCACCTCTGCTGGCCTTTGACCTCAAAGCCAATTGGTTGTCTCATGTAGATCTCCTCCTCTAAATATCCATAAAGAAAAGCTATAACCACATACATCTGATCCATAACAAGACTCAATGTTGCGGCCAGTGCACATACCAGACGAATTGTAGCGTATTCTGCTACAGGCAAAAAAACTTCGTTATAATCCACACCCTTTTCTTGTGTGAAACCTCTATCCACCAATCTAGCTTTGAAGATTCTTGCCTCATCTCCTGTTGGATTGTCTTTAAGCTTGTACAGCCACTTGGAGTCAATCACTGTCTGATCTTTAGGAAGCTCAACCAACTCCCAAGTCTTCTTGTCAATTAGTGACTGCATCTCCCGCTCCATAGCAGCATTCCATTCAAGCTTGTTGACCAAAGTTTGAGCTTCTCTATATGAAGAAGGTTCACCTTCTTCCAAGATCAACGCCATACCATCCTCATCTTCAAAATCAAGGTCACGATCTTTGAGAATAGATGAGTTGGACCATACACCAAATCTCTCAAGCGCTATACTAGATAGTTGTGATCTCCTAGTAAACGTTTCCATTTGATCTCTCTCGTCTAATATTGTTGCAATATG